GGGGGTGCCAGATCACCAGTTTGGACAGCCAGGAATGGGGGAGCAGATCCCATGGACAGATAACAGCATGGTAGCCATGAATCGAGGCACACTGAATAAACCTGAAGAGTAAGTACCATGGGGCTGGGGTAGTTACTTGGTAGGCTGCTTCCCAACCTCTTGCTTGGTTGGAGGCTTCTCAGCCTCTTCCAGAAGAAGGTTGGGATGTCCTGGCAGTAGCTTCCTGGCACAAAGTAAAGCAAAGTTCTTGCTTTACTGTCTCCTGGAAGCCTGGCAGGGGCAGACTGGGATGAGCCAAACTGGCCATCAATGTATGGCAGCAGTGGTTGCTGCTAATTCCATAACAGTGTCAGGACCTGGGCTGTGTAGCGTGCTGTGATGCAAGAGATGACATCTGCTCTCTCTCTAGGGATAAGTGAGTGAGGAGATGAGGAAGGTGAGCTTAAGAGAGACGTCCAGTCTATGTCTGGACCTGAATAATCCCTTATATCCGTGGCAGAGCCAAGGATGCTGCAAGTCCCCACTGCCCCTTGCCAGTGCCAATGTTTGGGTTGGTGTTCTCCAGCATCTTGTCTCACCCTTTCTCGCCAGGGGCAGTGGTGGGATCTGGAGAACCATGGGGCAGTTTTCTGTTTTCATGTGATGGCAGCTCTTTGCAGTCCTCATGTGCTTGGCTTCAGCTAAAATTATCACAGCTCTAATCCAGGGTGAAGCAACCCACCAAGTCTTCTAACCACCTTTTTTGAGATCATGCCCCATGGAGCAGCCAAGGGATCATCCATCACCTGCCCAAATTACAGCACTGCTCCTTGGCTGTAAAGGGGTTGGAGAAGACCCTACGTCAGGTATTTTGGGATGAGAAGTCAGAGGGTGGAGAGCCCTGCTGGTGGATCTCAGAGGTTGATGCCCTGCTGGGCAAGGAGCACCCCAAAGTCCTCACTGAGGAGCAGTGCTCACGGAGATGGATTTGATGCCATGGGAGGTGAATCCTCCCCCTGGCCCATGGAGAGCTTCTGGTTCCTAGTTTAAGAGGTAGCACTGATGAGCACTGCATGGATCCTTTCACCAAAGTCCTGCTTTGTGGAGAGACACAAATTCCTTTATTCATTAAAGCCTTTAGCAGGTGAGAACAGGCCCTGTTTTCCAATCATGAAGAAGACACATGTGAGCATCATAGCTGAACAAGCTGGTAGCCAAATGTCTTTTTCTAGGAGCTAAATTTGGATTAATTTCTCAAAGCTTTTAGCCCAAGAAGAGAGTTGCCTAAGTGGTCTCCACTGCTGCAACTGGATCTTGGACTTCTGGTGGAAAGACTTAGCTAACTCTTGTTGCTTGAAAGAGCTGGGAAATAAAATAGATCCCCACTTAATTGAGCATTTACATCAGTCCAAGCTTTGACACAAGGAAGTAACTTTTTTTCCAGCCTTGTCTGTGTCATTATTTTGCTGAGATAAGATCCATGGGGCATGACTGGGAAAGGGAAGAGAGGCTAGAAAAATCCATCTGGATGTTAAGTTACAAATCATAGAATCCCAGGCCGGTTTGGGTTAGAAGGGACCTTAAAGATCATCTAGTTCCAACCCCCATGCCTGGGCAGGGACACCTTCCACTGGGTGGGGCTCAAAGCCTCATCCAACCTGGCCTTTGAACACTTCTAGGGATGAGGCATCTACAACATCCCTGGATTTAAATGTTCCTTATGTTCTTTAGAATGCTGTTTATGGGGCAAAAATGACCTTACCTTACTCAGCAGCCTTGAGCTTGAGTCATTCTAGCTGGCTGTGGACATTTTTGACTCCCCATCCAGCACTACTGGGAAGGGAGGAGCTGGATTTTCTTCTGGCTCACTTTTTTGCAGCAGGATTATTGAGCAAGTATCCATGTTGGTGTGGAAGGCTTGGGACCTGCACAGGTATCAAGGAGGGAAGTGCTGGGCAACAGCATCCCAAGAGTCTTCGGGTGAGAAAAACACCTTGGGTGGTTTTCAGGCTAGAGTCCTATGCTGGGAGACAAGGCCAGACTGGTGGAGCAGTGGCACCTACCCAAAGCCTGATGAGATGTCAAAGTAACAAATCTCATGTGGTCCCTGCCTTTGGAGAGGGGTGGTTTCAACCATTCTAAAATTGCAGCCTGATTTGGATTATACAGGGTAGTATTTGGTTTTCTTGGCATTGAGGGGGGAGAAAGCAAGGAGAACCATGCTGCATGGTGGAAATTCCTATGACTCCATCACCTCCCCGTGTGGTGGAGCCACCAGGAGAGCCAACAGATGGACTGGGACCACAAGATGACAGCAAGAATAGATGTAGAGGTCTGCTTGTCATCATGAGCCTCCATTCCTCCTGAATTAGGGTCTCCAGGCACAGACTGTTCCTGCTGGAGTTGGTGGGAAGAGGCCATGTTGGAAGAAGCTGGTCCCTAGCTCAGTTCTCCTTCATATCTTCAGTAGCCACAAATCTAATGGAGCATCATGGGTGAGACCTGCCTTGGCAGCATCTTGGTGGGGTCTAACCACTTCCATCTAGTGACTTGGTGATCAACTACAAAACCCCATTTCTACTGCAGCCAAGAGAAGATATTCTGCTGGAAAAAAAAGCCTCTGGACTTTGGTCTTCAAAACCTGCAGATGTGCTTCAGCTGAGAGGGCACACTCATCCTTGGAGAAGCCCACAGTGCCAGCAGCTGCCTGCTCACCCAATGGAGATGGCAGTCAGAGCAGACAGAGCCTTTGGACTGCAGATAATACAGGACTGGGAAATGTATTTCAGCTAAGATCAAACTAGCAGAGCTTTTGCTTGGAGGGTTGTAAAGGTTTCCCAGCTGGGAGGTTCATGTTAGCTGGAGGTGGGCTGAGGTCCTGGCCTTGTTTAAGGAGCTGGTAGTGGCTGATCTCCCAGTACCGGGTGTCCTGGAGAATAGGAGTTTCCTTTTGAAATTCTCCTGTTCCCCAAATCCTCCCCTGCCTTTGCCTTTTTATAAAGTGGGATGACTACAACATCCCCTCCTCTTGTGTCCCAAGCAGAAGTGCTCTTATGTCTTCTGTAGAAGAGGGACACCCTGGGCCACATCCAAGGCCCCCTGAACCAAGTCCAGGTCACTGTTCTCACATGCGTTCCTCTAATCCCCCAAGGTCAAACATGCCACCCAGGGCCCGATTCGGTTGCCTCGATGCTGGCACCCAGTGCTATCTGAGATGCCTGTGGTTTCTAGGGCATCTCTGAAAGGCCAGAGACCTGCAGCCTTTTGGAGCAGAGCTTGCAGGCCATGCCAGGGAGATGTTTTACAGGATCTCAAACAGCATTTGACACCATCTCTGCAAGTAGCTGAATTCCTTCTCCTCGCCACATGCAGAATCATAGTTTTCACCCTAAAAAAAATAGCCTGAAGGGTTGAGGTAGGTAGAAAACCTCTGGATAGAGGACATAGTGTGCAGGGTCCAGGATCTCTTCTGCTCCCCTGTCACCTGCCTGGCACTCATCTGAACCCCAGCATGGAGGAGAAGGCTCTGCAAGCCAGATTGAGCTGCAAAGTAGGAGGCGCTGGAGGTTTATTTACTACATAAAGGTTGTATTATCCCTACGATCTCCTTAAGAACCAACTCCTGCCATCCATGCAGAGGTCTAGCGTGGGCTGAAGAGACAGTGCCAAACTGAATTGCTCTTTTAACTGCCTGTTAATGTGGAATAAAAGCCTGTCCTCCACTTCCTCTGCAAGAACAATGTGTTTGTGCAGCAAACTTGGTCCTTGGCACTGAAAAACTGGGTTTGATACCAGCAGCAAGTATCAGGGACCTCATCTATGGAGTGAAACTAGCCCTGCTTTTCACCTCCCTGCTTCCCTCTCTACTCCCACTCTGCAATTTAAGAAATCCCAATGCCAAGTATTTCTTTTCCCTGGATTAAGCTGCGTGTGTTGGCTGGAGCGGTCTCGGTCAGATTGGCTTCAGTTCCTTACTGTACATCTGGTCCTCATCTGGAGCTAAAAGGATAAACATGTCTGCTGCTTGGGAACTGCTGGCATGTTCAAGCCCTTGCCTTTGTGCCTCTCTGCGAGCCTGATGTGCCACGGCTCTCTTCATCGTGTCAGACCCGGCAAATCCGATTGCCTTCAATTAGTCACGTCATTGGAATGTCTCTCATTACATATTAATCTTATTCCCAAAGAATATTGAGCGAGCTTTGCAGAAATCTTATTTTTCAGCTCAAAGGTTCCCCTTTGCCTTCAGCTGCTTTGCTTCCAGCTGCTTCGGCTCCATCCAAGTCTCTCCACTTTCGTGCCGGCAGAAGTTTTGCTCTGCCTCCCGCTGTCCTGCCCAAAATGCCTGTGGGAGCAAAGCCTACAAAAGCACCCAAGTTTTCTTCCCAAACTTCATCAAAACACTGTCCAGGCTTCGTTTTGTGAAGAGGCTCAACCTTACAAGCAGGTTTCAGTGTGAGGCATGAGATTGAGGGTGCTCAGCCAGTGTCGGAGCCGAGGGACGAGGCTGTGTCCCATAGGGATCTCGTGATGCTGCGGGGTGGGAGCAAGTCCCTGTAGCTGCAGCGGCTCGAGCATCTCCCACCTCAGCCTCCTCCATGCTTTGTAAACCTTAATGTGCCTCCTCTTGAATTCTTCTCTCAGCAGCCAGTGCATCACCTCGCAGCTGGATGAGCTCCTGTGTCCTCCCACCACGCCGGAGGGCCGGAACGACGAGAAAGCCCTGCTCGAGCAGCTTGTCTCCTTCCTCAGTGGCAAAGACGAGACAGAGCTGGCTGAGCTGGATCGAGCTCTCGGGATTGACAAACTTGTGCAGGTAAAGACAGAACCACTCACAGGTGACCTCTCATATCAGAGGTCACATACAGGGCCAGATGCTGAGGCTTGATGTGAGCGTGGAGGAGGATTTCCAACATCTGGTGGTGACAGGAGGCCAGATGTGAGTGGGAACACACAAGCGCATCAGATTCAGAGACGATACTTAACACCACGCAGTTCTCTTCCCCCCCCCCAGCACCGCCAAAAAAGCTGGAAAACAGCCCCATGAAATACAATATCTCACTTCTCCGCTTTTCAAACACGTTCCCCCATGAGAACCAGCAGCCTGGCAAAGAAGCGGCCGAGCAGCTTCAGCCCCGGGCGGCTCATGTAACAGGGAGCTGGCAGGCTGTCCCTCTTCCCCACCTTACCAGGGGGGAATTAGGGCATGGAGGAGCCTTCCAGCTGGAATCCCACAGCCTGGGATTCCTGAGCCTGGGTTGTGCTGCCTAATAATATATCTAATGGCCTCATTGGTATGAAACCGTGCGGTCCTTACTATCAAGATTGGCTTTCAGTGCAGCTGCCCTTCTGTCTCGGGTTGAACCACAGGGAAAGAAAAAGAAAAATGAGGTTTGCTTTTCATGGTGCTCTCTTACTCGGATAGCACTGGGGCCCTGGGTTCTGCAGCTGAGCTCCGTCAGAGACTCCTTGTTTGCAGATATGCATGGGGGCAGATGCCTCTGAAGGGTCCAGGGTTTCATAACTAGCAAGGCAGGGCAGAGGGAGAATGCTGGCTGCAGGGGAGCTCGTAAGGGATATGGAAAATGAGACGGCTCACTTGGGATTTGTCTTTGAGTGGTTTCTTTTTCCATGCCCCATAGCACTCACATGCATGTTTTTTTTCCAAAACAAGGAACAGAATGGAAAACCTGTTAATAAATGCCATGTTCTAAGGAAGAAGCTTCCCAGAGCAAATCCCTCTGGCTGCTCTGGCCCTGATCCTCCACCATTTAAGCCTGGAGGTGGCACATCTTTGTGGCCCTGTCATGATGCCTTGCACCATGCCACTGGGAGGTTTTATCTTTTCATGAGTGATTTGAGGGACCTGTCAGTGAGCTGATGTCTGAGTCAGGACTTTGCCATGTCCCTTTTCTCAAGGCTGCACATCCCAAATCACTACCTACCTGGTTATTTTGGGGTTTTTTTTGCAAGTTATGTGTAGGGAGTTGAACTTCCCTGGTCCTTCATACCAGAGGTGCTCTTGCCAAAGATACAGCTGCAACAGCTCAATGTTCTCATGAGGGTTTTGCAGACTCAGCTGGCACAGCTCCTCAGCAACCCTTTCCTGTACAGACAGGCTCCAGCAGTATTGCACACTGTGTTGAGATGTCCTCAGACATCTCTGCGTATCTCCAAGCATCCCCATGTCCATCCAGCACTTCTCATGCTGAGGACCACTTGGTTTGGGGGGATTATCTCATGTGTGGACCCTGACTTGTCCTTGTTCCTATCCAGGGATCATTTCTTTAATGGGAATCTTGGGCTTTTTCCATGGCTTCGGCTGAACCTCAGAAATATTTTGAATAGTTCCATGAAATATTTGCTTGAAATACGTCTTTAGAGAAACAACATGTCAGCGTAAAGGCATCTTTGTGAAGAAAACGTGTTGAACAGTCCCCCCTCCTTGGCTGTGTTATTGACAGGCAGGGGTTCACATCCCACTGTCTTCTCTGTGCTGTCACAGACAGGGTGGGGTGAAAGGCTGGAGGTATCGTCACCCAGTTTAATCAGGAGGTGGCTGGAAACTGAGTAATTTGGGGAGAGAAGAGTCAAAGAGCCTCACTTGAGCAGGTCTCTGGTTTCTGGCCATTGCCCGCTGCTGTTTTATGTCCTGGTTAATCATATAAAATCCATCTTACTTCATTTTGAGTGATTTATTTTTCCTCACTGTCATCTTAATTGATGCTAAGCAGCGTATTTTTCCTTGCCATCATTCCCATATCCTGACCCTGCCTTCAAGCCTCAGTCCTTTAATGGGCATCGCCAAACCGAATCCCAAAGGCAGTGGGATTTAGGGGTGGTTTGGGTGTGTGGTTTCTCTTAACACAGTTTTCTTCTAATCTGTGGGGATCAGATGAAGGATTCTGGCTCCAAGATGTTACTTCTCCATGGGTTCATTGCTCAAACTCCAGATGTTCCTGCCAGAGCCAAGCTAGAGAAACACAGAAATCATCCTCATTTTGTACAGGAATGGCTGTATCATAGACCAAAAGGTCCTGTCTTCAACAGGGGTGGCCATGAGCAGCACAGGAGTATAGATGTGCTTCCCCATGAGCTCTCCCTGTCCTGGGCGTCTGTGGTTCAGGTCCTTGGAAATGACCTGGATACTGTCTTCATCAAGACAAGCCTCCAAGGCTGCTTAAAAGTAGGAAAGGAGAGAGAGCACAAACTATTTCCTGTGTTTGAGTCGCTCCTTCAAGCCTTAGGGTTGGTCCAACCAGACAAGCTGCTGTTTGAAACCCAGATGAGCAGCTCAGAGCTGACAAAACCTATGGAGGAAGGCAGCAGTGCCTGCTGCTACCCTGCAACCCCTGCCAGCCTGGGGAGATGAGCCAAAAAGCCTGCCCTTGGTCTTTGCTTCCAAGCCAAAAGAAATAATTTCCATCCCTCTAAGGTTTGCTAAGCCCTGGGCAATGGGTGTTTAAGGCCCTCCTCAACTCAGCAGGCTGGAGCCTGGCCCAGGAGATGAGGGTACAGGCAGCAGCATCCTTACGGGTGAGCTGCCCCATGCTAGACATGTCCTCCACCCCCCCTGAGCCCCCCTGGGAGAGGTCAGGTGCTGGTGGGGCTCCCCAGTGATATTTTCCTCCCTCTCTGCCTTAAGCCCTGGGCAATGGGTGTTTAAGGCCCTCCTCAACTCAGCAGGCTGGAGCCTGGCCCAGGAGATGAGGGTACAGGCAGCAGCATCCTTACGGGTGAGCTGCCCCATGCTAGACATGTCCTCCACCCCCCCTGAGCCCCCCTGGGAGAGGTCAGGTGCTGGTGGGGCTCCCCAGTGATATTTTCCTCCCTCTCTGCCTTCCCCAGGGCGGCGGGCTGGAGGCCCTGACGGAGCGATTCCAGCCCCAGCAAGCCACCCCACCGCTGATGATGGAGCAGAAACCCGGCATGTACCCCCAGCCTTACTCCTCTGCCTCTCCCACCACCAACCTCCCCGGCGCCTTCCCCGGCATGGTCAGGCAGAAGCCGTCCTTCGGAGCCGTGCCCGTGCAGGTCCCGCCGCCCCGCGGCGCCTTCCCCACCGCCATGGCCATGCAGCCCCGGCAGACGCTCACCAGGCCCCCGACCGCC